ACCTACACTGTAGTACATTGCATTATAAGAGATGAACCCTGAATTTAGAACAACTGAATCTTTTGTAACGGGCAGTAAGCGTGCCCCACCTTTGCTACAGAGGAAGCCATTTTCTCTATCTTCCAAAGCTGTCCACTATACAAACATTTTTGGACAGACTGTTTGGGAAAAAAGGGCATTCAGTACCTCCACTCTCAAGATATTCAGAAACCCATAGAGAGCTATCTCTCAACAGAAATCTGTAATTTCTTAGTGGAAATTACCAGAAGCCACTAACCTCTAGTTCCTATTTCACATGAGGTAGGGTTGTACTCAATTGCATTTAACAAAATTCTGATTACAGTGGTTTAACCAATGTTTGTTTTGAATTGGTTTTTTTCCCTCTGCAGGTAACCAGAAGTCCAAGAGGTGGACAGTCCAGGTCTGGTGCGAATATAAATGAGGTGTTCAAGGACCCAGGTCCCTATCCTCCTGTTCCACCATCTTCATCATTTGGCTTTTCACCTGATGGTCCCAACATGTAAATTCCCCCTCCATTGGTACAGTGCTGGTGCTCAGTTGAGAGAAGTAATTATCACATTTGAAGGAAAGTTAAAAAATTGAGAGAGGAAAGATGAAGAATTAAGATACATATGTAGGGTGGCTGGGAGGCAGTAGCAAGTAGATTTTCCCAGACACAGAATGGTATAGAATTTTACTAGAAAATTTGTTTAAGTAGATGGTGTGGATCAAAGTAATACTTTGTTTTAAGGGACAGGAACAAAGCATTAAACAAGCTAACAGGGGTGACTTGAAAGATTTAATTTAACTGAATAATTTAGTAAATAAGCTATGATTCAAAAATGTGTTTTTGGGGTGCCTGCGTGGCTCAGTCAGTTAAGTGTCTGACTCTTGATTTCAGCTCAGGTCAGAAGAGTCTGCTTGAGATTCCCTCTCCCTCTGCCCCTACCCCCTGCCCCCCACCCTGACAGGTGCACACACACTCTCTCAAATAAATAAATCATAAAAAAACCCCACAGAAACCCAAAAATGTGTTTTTAATAAAAATTGGAAGTTTTAAATTTTATTACACAAATGCACAGTTCAAATAGCACTGTAACCTTTCTTGTTGGTGCTACTGTTCAGAGGAATGAGTAATGGCTTATAGTACTGGGTAAAAATAGGAATCATGCTTCTGAGGAAATCAGAATTCAGCTTGAGGCTGGTTTAGTTTGTGACAATACCCTAGTGTTAGTTACTGTACTTCTCTACCTTCTGTATTACCTTATGGAATTGCTACATAGAATTTAACACCAAGAAATCTAAATTTCCTTAGAGTAGAAACAAGCTTATATGAACAATTCCTTTAGAGTAACTAAAAATTAGACTATCTGCTGCAGTTGGTATCAGGGTTTCGTTTTTAGCATAAGCTGAGGCAATCGGTTTCTAAATAGTTTCTAAATAGTCCATCAGTTCTATATGGTCTAAATAATCCATTTGTTTAACAGATCCTTTCATTGAATAATCCCAAAGCACTGAACATCTTCGAGATTATAAACTCATATAGACGGAGAAGAAACTAAAGAAAAATAGTTTAAGAATAAAGACAATCCTCAATTATGCATTCTATGAATTAACCATGTTCTCAACTTTCTTTCTCCTGTATATTGTCTAAAACTTTCTTTTTTTCTAATGGTAAAAAGGTTTGATAGAGATGAGTTTGAATATGGCGAATGAAATTAGAGCTTGTCAATAGGTTTTAATAACTGATTGTATGTTAGCTCTGATAATCTAAAGTTCATTATAGATGTTTAGGCACATAATTCTCTTGGTCTCCTCCTATCACCAATAAGATATCCTTCTCTAACGCCAGTTTCTAAAGGTAAAATAATTGCTTCTATTAGTTTAAAATTATTAAATAATAAATAACAAGTTCAACAATAACCAAAATATATGCCCAGGCTCTTCTCACATGTTCAAAGTTAGGTACCATGGATGCAAACAATAATTATTATTACTAGCATTGTAATAATAATCATAATAAATCCTTAAGTTTACATAGTTCATTGTTTATAAATGATTCCATATTTTATTTGAGCCACTCAATATTCATACGAGGAATTATTCTTCAAATAATACTGCCTCATTTTACAGATAAAGCAATTCAGACCAAAAAAAGTTTAAGTGACTTGCCCCGTGTCATAGGCATAGAGATACAATATATCCAAGACATAGTCCCTCCTCTTGTTAAACTCTATTGTAATGAGAAGTTTGGAGGACTTGTGAGCAACCTTAACATGGTGTTGAGCTAGAGCGCTACTAGTCCCAAGGACAGACCACGGGAAGGACAAGGAAACACCTGGGGGCAGGGAGGTAGGCAGAGGCAGGGAAATTTTCCGGAAGTAAATAAAGTCTCATTTCAGACTTCACTATGTTGGTTCTGAGAAGAATATTAGTTTCTTCTCAGAATCTACCAAGTTGATTTGGGACTTGATAGAGTAAAACTGTGAAAGTCAACGCCTCGTTATTAACTTTAAGCCAATGTTTCTCACACTGCTGCTCCTGTACCAACTGCATCAGTTACATGGGGTGCTTGTTAAAAAAAATAAAGACTTGGAGGGAGAGGGGAAAGGGGTTACTTTGGACTTTCTTAAACTTCTTGGGTGAGATCCAGGAAAACTGCTGCTGTAAGTATAAACACCTTGGGGATTTTGAAGTCAAAGAACAAAATAAAGAAGATATTTCTGGCTCCAAATGGCTCCTGCTTCAGTAAGACCTTTTTTTCTTTCTTTTGGATGGAGTATGGAAGAGTGTGCATTCGGCTATTTGGGGAAAAGAGTACTATATTGCAAACTGTCAGTCCCTCCACCCTTCACGTGCAGTGTGGTTGGCTTGGAGCAGGTGCTTGATAAATGTTTGTTGACTTGCTGATCAGACATAGATATATATTTAACTTCCATGAGTTCTGAAAGCGCTTTCTGCTTCTATCTTCCAGGGTCCAGCCAGCAGCGGCAGTATAATGGAGTAAAGGTGTGTGGATTTCGGGGAAAGACTGAATGAATTCAAACCCCAGGTCCTCAACAGTTGAGAGGACCAAGTTCCTTAATCTGCCCCCATTTATAAAGAAGGGATAGATATACCTCCCAGAGTTTGGGAGAGTTTTAAATGAGTTAACAGGTATCTATGATATATAGGTATCAATGAAAATACTGTAAGTGCAAATGCTTAGAACTGTGCTTTACGTCCCAACGCAAATGCGTTCTACAAATACTCATTGAAACCCAGGCAGTGGACTCTACAATTTATTGTCTGTAATAGGTCCCCTTAACAGGTCAGAACCTCGGGGCAATTATCAGCAAAAAAATGAAAGAACAAACGAACAAACTAGAAACCTGAAGCGACCCAGCCCAGGAACCCTGAGCTGCAGCGTGGCGTGCTCGAGGAGGCCGGAAGGGGTGCAAGAGTGGTCTCTCCCCGCCCGGTTCGCAGCACGTGGTCCGCTCGGGCGGGAGCTTCGCGACAGTGGGGGAGGGGAGCGGCGTGGGACGACGCGGAGGGGGTCTAGGCGGCCAAGGCTACGGTTGGGAAGATGCGACTGCGCAGACTCCGGATAGGCGCAACCACTGTGCGAAGATCGAAAGGGGGGAGCGTTCACCCGGCTCCGCACTCCTTTTATCTGCTTGCGGAGCGATAGCCTGACTTTTTTTTTGTTTCACGACTGCATTTGGCGTCGCCGTCTGCAAGTTGGTCATAAGCAGAGGCCTCTTATTTCAAGACTGAAGAGACCTCTTTTTCTAGTCGGACCCCTTTCTCCCCCGTGAAGGCCACAGTGGACACGTCCCACCTCCCCTCGGCCTCCGGAGGTGGTTTGGCTGCCCCCTCCCCCCTCCCCAGTGTCGCGAGTTGGCGCCGCTGCCACCCCCCGCTCCGCGCTCTCGGCCCCTCGGCCGGGCGGTACCGAGTCCTCCCGGCGTCCCTTCATCTCCTCCCTCCGGCCAGCCGTTCCTTGCGGGACTGCCACCCCCATCTTCGCCCCAGTCCTTTTCTCTCCCCGCCGAGCCGCGGCGGCACCAGCAGCAGCTTCAGCAGGAGGAGGAGCCGGAGCCCGGAGGCGGCGGTGGCCGGAGAGCCCATGGCGTACAGTCAAGGAGGCGGCAAGAAGAAAGTCTGCTACTATTACGATGGTGAGAGGCCCGGCTGGCAGGAGGGTGGGTGGGCAGGGCTGGGGAGCCAGGCCCTGAGCCGCGCCGGGTTCCGCAGCCGCCGACGCGGGCGGGCGCGGGTGCTGAGGGGTGGGAAGGAGGAGGGACCGACGTCTGGGAGCATCTTAACCCATTCCCGACCCGACGCCGTCAGGGAGAGCCCCTCCGCGGCGACCGGCCGCCGCGGGCTCTGCAGCGGGAGCCAGGTGGGCACCCCCTTTTCTCTCCTGTCGCTCTCTCTCCGGCAGTAGGGTCCGCCGCCCCGAAGGCAGCCGCCTGTGGGACGGGGCCGGCCTACCCCGTCTAAGTGGAGGCGGCCAAAGGGATGGCTTGCCCTCTCTCTCCTCCTGCTCGCCACTTGCGGGCGCGGAGGTGTGGGGGTGCTCTGCTCCGGCCCCGACCCTCCCCCCGGGCCAAAATATCTACCCCGGCCCGGACTTCACACAAAGCCCCGCGCCCGCTGGAGCCCCGCCCTCGGCCCCCGTCTCTCCCCGCCCTTCTCCCCGTCACCGCTCGCTCCCGCCCCTCCCTTCCTCTCTGTCTCGAGCTGGCCCGCTGCGTCTGCTCCTTTCTCCGCCTCCAAGCTTCAGCCCGGACCCCTCGACCGGGTCGGGGCTGGCAAGAAGTTACCAAGGGTGGGGACCCACGTCCTCCTTGGGACACACTGACGCTGCCGTTTCGCCTTGGGCTCCATCCCTCTCCTTTGTTCGCCGCGTTCTTTGAGCGCCACTTTCTCAGGATTCAAATGAAAAGGCTTCACTTCCTCGATAAAAATTGGGGTTTTCGAGTTTGAGGTAGTCTTCGCGGGAAATGGGACGGTGTTAGGGAAACGTGGAGCTGTACTGCTTGTGTTGTAGACCAGACTCGATGGGTTCTGGCTTGTCTCTGTGAGAGGCGGTTACCACCCACTTCTTTGTTGCTCTTTGTTCGATCAGGAAATACACCCTGCTTGGGAGGTTTAGGATGCATTCGCATCTTGCTTGCGAAAGCTGTTTCTAGGTGTTGGGAGTTTTGGTGTAGGAAAACTTGGAGGAGTAATGCAGAAGTACTAAATAATCAGGTAAGCTTGAGCTTGCGGTGCAGTAAATTATGAAAGTCAGATGATTTTAGGGGTTCTCTGATTTGAAATTTGAGCAGTAACATTAAATCTCTTGAATCCTGTTTCCTGTGGAAATGGAGTAGTAACCTGTTTTGCAGATTTCACAAAGACATTCATTTGGTAAATATTTCTACTGCGTTACTCTCCAGAAAAGGATTTCGAAAATTTTACAAAAAAGCTAGGCTCAATGACCTGCAAGTCCTTGATCTGTCTAAAGCAATACAAATCTTGGAAGTTGTGTCCTGTATATGGTGTATTATGTGTATATTACAAATCTTAAGGTGGTGGAAAGACCTAAGAGGTCTAGGTCAGAATAAATCTGATTTTAATTTGAAAATGACCATACCATATTACTTCATTTAGCAAAGATGAATCTTTTAATGCCTGAGTATATAAAATGACCACCTATGTCATTTGTGGAAAAACTTAAAATCATAAAGAAGAAATCTAAATTGTTTGCTATTTGATGGCTAGTACTAAATAGTTAATAGCTGTATTTTAAAAACATTTTTTGAGAGCACTACATATATGTGTAATACAAATCGAAATTACGGCATCCTGGAGGAGTAAAGATAGTACATTTATGGATTATATTTGTTAAAATCATTCTTTAAGTTTTCATGCATATTTTGAGACAGTGGTAAAACCCAAGCCCTGCATTCCCTGATCAAATTGGAAAATAAATAACTGTGTGTGTGAGTTAATTTTTAAAATGATATTGTACCTAAAGTTTAGAGATTTGTTCTTGTCAGGAGTTGGGGTAGAAGGTTTAAAAAGTTGGGGAAACTGGTGCTGAGGCTCTTCCTGCAGCTCTTAGTTGCTACTGACAGTGATAGGCTCTGAAGAAGTAAACTGCTTGTAACTTCTTGTCACCAGACTTGAATTGTAGAGCTGGGAGGTACACGTAAGTAGCAGTTTTATGAACAGCTGTTTCTGGGCCCTTAAGAGCCTTTGCTGAGGGAGTGGGATGCTCAGGGCAGGATGCAGACTTGATAGGTAGAGTGGAAATATTCAAGTCCCATGGTTGTTGCTTAATACTATACTATAGACCATTTAGCTGCTTTACTTAAGGCCAACACCAGTGTATAACTGAATATTTGGAAATCTCTTCATTAGGTTATATGCCTTTCGTCTAGGGCTCATGCCTCATTTTCAGAATGGAATTTTTATTTGCTTTCATTTGGAAATATTCTTTGGGTTTGGGGGGCTAATAAAATTGTTTTGTAGAAATTATTAAATGGGTTGGGTATCATTATGCTAATTATTAGTATGTGATAGTATATATACTAAACTTTCAACAATTCCAAAAGCTTACTTTTTCATTATTTAAAAAACCCTATTTTGTCAGCTTAAAAGGGTAGTGGTGTTTTTTTCTTTTTTGGGGAGGAAAGAAGATGCAAGTAAAGCAGCTTCTGCACCAAAGAATTGGGAGATTTGAAGGTATACAATATGGATTGGATTAGAATTAAAAATCTGCTACCCTAAATTATCTTGTTTTAACTTGATAAAGAAAGTAGAAGAAAGATGAATACAGGAATGAAGTAGTGGATTCTATAAGATTAGGAAACCTACCTTTAGGCTTAGTGGGACCATTAGGCATACTCTTGACAACAGAGAGTATCTAGCAAATGAAAGGAATTTCTAAAGACATGTATTTTTCTCTGTATGCTTTACAGTGTTCAGTATTATACCCTTTAGATGACTGGAATGCTGGTTCCAGCTAAACCTTCAGGCATTGATGGATGAGGTATCCTTAAATCTTTGAGGAAAGTAAGAGTTCACTTTTCTTATTGTAGATACTGACCCATAGTCCAAAGTTTTCAAAAACTTAATTCTAAATCTTGGTCATCTTGTATGTATTGCGTGATTATCGATACTCTGTAAAATGATATACCTAGTGGCTGAGATCCCTTCTGACTTTAAAATGATGTGGTTTCTGTACTTAAATGTAATTAGCAAACCAACTGTGTTAGTCCGGTATTACAATACTCAAAATTGTAATACTTTACCTAGGGGGCGCCTGGGTGGAGCAGTCATTTAAGTGTCAGACTCTTGGTTTCAGCCCAAGTCATGATCTCAGGGTCTTGAGATGGAGCCCTACATTGGGCTTCGTGCTTATCAGAGTCTGCTGGAGATGCTCTCTTCCTCTGCCCCTTACCTTGCCTCTGCGTGCGCACGCTCTCTCTCTCTCTCATGTAAATAAATAAATAAAATATTTATTAAAAAAATAATTTATGATACTTTATCTAGAAATATTAAGTGTACTTTGTTTTGAATTAAGCTTTAGGCCAATCACATTTCGTGCCGGTTTTACAATGTATACAATATAATAGGGTTGTGTGTAAACATAATTTATATAATTGTATAGATACTGCTCTATGCTCTATTTTTTCCTCTTTTGATAGGGTGCATCAAAATGTTGGAGACAAGTGGTTCAGCAAAAAGCACTTAACACTATACAAAGATAGAATATAAAAGTTACCAAGGTCATGCCTCCCAGTATACTCATAGTTTAGGAGATTATAAGGATTGATTTGGCAGCCAACTAATTGACAGATTTTCTTAGACCTTTATTTGCAACAGCGGTGCCAAAGTCTTTTTGGTAGATAGCCTGTAATAAATTGCATGGGTTCTTAGCTGTAATATAAATATTATCCATAAAATAGGTATCATTTCATCCAAAATAGGTAATCAGCAAATCAAAGTGCTAAATGAATTACAGCAGCAGTTCATAAATATCAGTAGTCTTTTTTTTTTTAATTTTATTTATTTGAGAGAGAGAGCCAGCGAGTGGTGTGGAAGGAGCAGAGGGAGAGGGACATGACCTCAAGAGTTGAAGAAGAGTTGAAGAAGAGGAAATCAAGAGTTGACCCTTAACCAACTGAGTCACGAGGTGCCACCATAAATACTAATAGTCTTAATTGCACATCATTGTTTAAACATAGTAGGGTGTAATGCTCAAAAAAAACAGCTTTTCTTATACTCTTCCCCAGCTATTCTTTAGTATTCATTTCCTTCAGATTTCACCTAATCAGACTTTTTTCCTATTACCTTAATCCTCCTTACTGCTTTTCTCCTTATCACTTGTACTATTATCCTATTTCTAGCACCTAAATTTTGTCCTCCTAACTAGAATATAAGCTTCGTGAGGACAGAATCTGTTTTGCTTATGTCTATATCTCTACCATCTAAATAAAAATTAAAGGTTTTTTTTAATTATTGGTGATAAATGATTAGTACCTTATTTTTATGGATAGAGCACTTTCATATAACATTCTCTGCTGCTTACAACCACTCTGAGTTATGGACAGGTAGGATCAGTGGCATTTTGTCTGTTTTACAGATGAAAATAGATTAGTATCCCTGTTTGATACACTCCTTATCCTTTACCACACTGACTTGTTTTAAGGTCCAAGAAGAGGTCAGTACCTTGCACCTAACACGATTTTTCTTCCTTCTTTTGGTGACACAAGAGTGGAACTCTTTGCATTGATACCAAAAAAAAAAAAGAGAGTATTAAGTAATTCTTTCTTTTTCCTAACAAAAATATGTAAATTATTCAGTTGACAGATACTTAAGGAAATGGTTGGAACTGGTAATCTCTTAGGGAATGATGATAGCATTGAAACAGATCAGATTTAGAAGTTAAAAGTATAAAGGGGCGCCTGGGTGGCTCAGAGCTGGTTGTCTGACTTCAATTATCTGCCTTGCGGCTCAGGTCATGGGTCCTGGGATCAAGCCCCACATCGGGCTTCCTGCTCAGCGGAGAGCCTGCTTCTCCCTCTCCCCTACCCCCCGCTCATGCTTTCTCGCTCTCTCAAATAAATAAAATCTTTAAAAAAAAAAAGTTAAAGTATAAGGATGTTTGTACTGGTTAATAAGTCTTATTCCTCTCTAATAACAGTTGGTTAATACTTGTTCATGAAATCAACTTTGGGTTTAGAAATATCAAATGGGCTTAAAGTCCATACTGTGTGCCAGGTAGACAAAAGATTATATTTAAGCCCTAAGAACGAAATAAACTGTATGCTAGATCGTAAGAGTGGGGACGTTTGTAGCGTACTCAAGACAAGGAAGGCCTGAAGAAAGAGAATGGGCCAGCCTTAAAAGAGTTTTCCTGTAGGGGCGCCTTGGTGGTTCAGTTGGTTAAGCTGCTGTCTTCGGCTCAGGCCATGAGCCCGGGGTCCTGGGATCGAGCCCCACGTTGGGCTTCCTGCTCAGCGAGAGCCTGCTTCTCCCTCTCCCTCTGCCTGCCTCTCTCCTACTTGTGCTCTCTCTCTGTCTCTTTGTCAAATAAATAAATAAAATGTTAAAAAAAAAAAAAAAAAGTTTTCCTGTAAGATACTGCAAGCTGCAAAGGCCACGTAGTTAGGATTTGGCACACTAAACAAAACGGAAGACATGGGGGAATAATGGGATGCCAGGCTAGGTAGTAAAGGGCCAGACCACAAAAACTTTGTAGTAAGAGATTTGAACTTGGTTCAGGGAGTAGAAAACCACTGAAGCATTTTTAAATAGAACTCAGGTGAAGAAAGGATGGTGAAGAGTGATGATGAATACTGAAAGCAAGAACTGAATGCATGTTGGTCCACGTAAAATATATTGGTTGTGGCTGACAGAAATGGACACATTTAAGAGAGGTTTTGGGAGTGCAACAAATAGAACTTGTTGATGGATTAGAAATGGAGCTGGAGCTGGTTGATGGTGGTACAGAATGAAGGATGGACAACTCCTACTAATTTTCTAGATCGAACAGTTAGGTGACTTATTGCTGAGAGAAGAGGATTTTTAGGGCATCACTCTTGTTCACTGACTTATCCAAGCACCTAGAATAGTGCATAGCGCACGGTAGGCTCTTAATTTGTTAAATGAATGAATGAACATGAGAAACTCCTGATACTTAAAGGTTGGTGCAGAGTGGCTATCAGGTAGGAATACAGTCCATGACAGTGGTATTATGGAAGCCAGTGGCCAGAGTGTTTAAGTTAGTAGTGGACTAAGTCAGTAGTGTGTGGAAGGTGAAAATAATACTATGGCTTTTTCTTGCTTCCTTTGGTTTTTTTCTTTGTTTTTCTGGATAATTTTTATAACGTGCTTATCTTTAGGGGTAAAGGTACATTTTACAATCTTAAAATTCAAAGTTATCTGAAAATGGGAAGAAAAATCTGTAACTTATTTGGAACCAAAAGCTTAATCTGAATTAATATTTATAATCTTTATTCTGCTTACTGTGAATATTCATACATTTTTGCTGCAAAAAATATTGTTTGATTATAGAATGCTGTGCAGATCCCAGGGTATCACATAATATACAGCAGATGTAACATACTACATTTATAAAACCTGAAAAAAAAAAATCTGAAATACATCCAGTCCCAAGTACTTTGGGTAAGAGAGTGTAGACCTTAGTAGCCATTTCATTCTGATAGCTTCTTTTGAAGAGTGAGCAATTTCTAAAATTTTGCAGATAACTAATTCTTTATGGTAATTTCTTCACATTGACAAAGTTTGTTGTATTCAAGGAACGACCTTGCACTAATTTTTCTGGATGTTTGCTTCATTGATAATGCATTTTTGTGTATTTTGATAAAAATCAAGATAACATTTAAAATGCCTGAGTTATGTTACTAACCATTTAAATCATGAATGGAATTCATAGGTTCTTAAACTAAGAAAAGACATTTTATGTTTAATAAAAAGTGGATGGCTACAAAGCAACCTTGTAGAGAATTTTGAGATATGGGATTAAGCCAGAAAGTGTTGGGCGATGTTTCTTTTATAACCCAAGGGGGTTATTTTGGAGGAATTCTTAGTAAACGAAATGGCACTTATCTTTGGCTTAGCTCCCCTTGTGTCATTTAGGAAGTGCACATATTTTTGATGGGACCCCTAAATTGTAGCAGAGAAACTTGTTGAAAGCTATATGTATTCATACAAAATTTGAGGACCCGATTGGTTTAAAAAAGAGAAGTGTTACTTTCATGAATTGGATAGGTGGTTTCTTGTATTCATTTTCTGATCCTAAGCCTTTGTTAAAATATTTGTATTACATATATCCTTTTCTTTCCAGGCTTTCCCCTACCATTTCTTTCTAGTGACTGAAAATGCCATTGCTTTCCTAGTAGCTACTGCTTAATATTATCTGCATTGCTCTGCATGTGTTTGAATCTAGCTCCTCTAGGGCATGCTAGTTGGGTTACTTTGGCAGTGTTACCCGATTCTGCTGCATCTCACCTTTCTTTACTATAGGAACAGTAGTAATAGTACCTACATCATAGGGTTAATTGAGAAGATTAACAGATAATACACGTGAAGTGCTTAGAATAGTACCTCCTAGTGAACACTCAATAAATGTTAATTATACATTATATGTTAAAAAAAAGATAGTAGGAAGGGAGAAATGAAGGGGGGAGGAAATCGGTGGGGGAGATGAACCATGAGAGACTATGGACTCTGAGAAACAAACTGAGGGTTCTAGAGGGGAGGGGGGGTGAGGGGATGGGTTAGCCTGGTGATGGGTATTAAAAGAGGGCATGTACTGAATGGAGCGCTAGGTGTTATACGCAAACAATGAATCATGGAACACTACATCAAAAACTAATGGTGTAATGTATGGTGATTAACATAACATAATAAAAAAGAAAAAGACCTATCTGAGAGATACATGGGAATCGCTGATAAGTATTTGTACATCCAGCAAAATATATGTAAATTTATTGCAAATGCACATTAATTTATTTCCTCAGGGAAAAAAATGTTAATTACTGCTATCGTCATTTCTTTTTAAAAAACAGGCTTGCTGAGAAATTGCAACTGTAGTCTCCCTTCTGTAGATTATTGACATTTCCTATTATATTATTTGTGACTTTCCACTGGATTCTCAGTAGGTCTATAACTAGAATATTTGATCTTAAAATGTGATGGATGTTAGAGACATTTCATGTTAGTAAATCTTACACAGAAGCATTTGCAAGTTCTGTGAGGAGTAGTTTCTTTATTCCAACTCTCGTGATTTCTTCTGGTAGTGATAATAACTTAGAAATACCTTCCTTGCATTAACTTGGGTACACGGTGCCTTGTAATTCTAGTGGGCTTTCCATACCTTAAAGAATTTGAGACCAGGGGCACCTGGGTGACTCAGTCGTTAAGCGTCTGCCTTGGGCTCAGGTCATGATCCCAGGGCCCTGAGATCGGCCTGCATCGGGCTCCCTTCTCCGCGGGAAGCCTGCTTCTCCCTCTCCCACTCCCCCTGCTTGTGTTCCCTCTCTTGCTGTGCCTCTCTGTCAAATAAATAAATAAAATCTTAAAAAAAAAAAAAAAAAAAAAAAAGAATTTGAGACCAGGCTGCTTTCAAGGAGCTCTGTGTAGTGCCAGCCATGTAGAGATGGGCTTTACAGCCAATCCTTATAAAGGTAGTTTATTTTATGCATTGCCTCTAAATTGTGATAAATGTAGAGGAATGTTGCACATCCCCATAGCTCTGCTTAGCTACTTGTCTGTATTGTCTTATTTGTTTGTTGGCTCTTGTTTTAAGAAAGGTGGCTTTCCCTTAAAATGACTGTGTATATATTAATTGTTTTCAGAAGAGAGTTTGTGTTGGAAATGAATTAAGTAAATTAGTGGTATACCAACAAAGTCAAGCAGTAGTGGTATTTAGAAATAGGGAGGTTATAAAATAGGCCTGTTATGAAGTAGGAATGTTCATCCTAGACAATTATCAAATATATGAAAGAGAAACACAAGTTTTTGAGTTTTCAGTTTCTAATAAACAAAGTGTGTATTTAGGCAGGATTTTGAAAGATTTTTTTTGATCTTGAAGGTGGGGAGATGGAATTCTTTATCCCTCACTTTTATATAAACCTGTGTTGAAAAGATTAACTTCAAGCCGTTAAAGTCAGCTTGACTGTCCTAATAAAATTTTGGAATTACTTACTTAAAGCCTAGAATTAATACTAAAAGTAATTTCTAATTTAATACAGGCTGTTGCAAAAAGTGCTTGTTACATTTAAAAAATAGTGTATTTCTAGGGGTTTCCTTAATTTTACTTTATTATAAAAACAAATACTTTCAGGTCTTTACCTGAAAGTATTGATTTCATTGAAATTCGGTAGATGAAAATTTGGTTTAAGACACTGGTAATATAAGATGTCATAGAAAGATAGGCTGGCAGTTACAACTTCTAATCATGAAGAATGAGACAAATATCCTTACTATCTTAAAAAATGTCATGAATATGTCTTATCAGAGCAAAACTCTATTTAGGATCTAAGTTTCATTCACCAAAAATTTTCTCTTATAGACTGTGATGGATGTGTAGAACGTTTTAACCCCCATAATTCCAACTATAAAGAATTTCTGGGATGCCAGTAAATATTCAAGAAGCAATATTTGCTGTAAAATTTTTAAATAATAACAGTGAAACTCAGAATTTAGGCATCTGAATTTGCCTGTAAATATGAAAAATAATTACCAATTTAAGTAAGTAAAACTACTTTTGTGAGTATGGAGGATTTTATTAGGGCTAATCCAAAACTTTGGTAAACTGAAAATCAGAAAAGCTTGCTTGCTTTAATCTGTAAATAAACATCATATATATTAATGGTATTATCACACGTAAACGTGTGCACAGTATCTTGGTTTTCTAATACAGTTTGAAAGTTGAAAAATCTAAAATCATTATTTAAGGTTTTAAATCTTGTTTAGGTGGTAAGTGCCTTCTAATGATGAACATACATAAATTTAGATAGTGAAGACTTTCTTGTCTATATTGTTCAGTTTGTCTTTTTTCTATTTTAGGTGATATTGGAAATTATTATTATGGACAGGGTCATCCCATGAAACCTCATAGGATCCGCATGACCCATAACTTGCTGCTAAATTATGGCTTATATAGAAAAATGGAAATATATGTGAGTATACCTTTTGATAAATATTCAGCAGTGATATTTTTTTTTCCTTAATCTGCTTTGAAATGATTATTCCCTTTGAAGTGCATTTAGCAGATGAAAAGGCCTGGAAGAAAACAGAAAATCCTCTTTTTGTTTTATTCTTCAGAGAAATAGAGTGTGGGAGTTATGACCTCTCTTGTCCCTCTTCCTCAGCCATTTCTTAAGTTTCTCGTACCCTATCTTTTCACATTCTGGAGAACAACTCAGTGTAGCATACTAAATATCTTTGTTACAGTAGTGGTTGACCTGGCTGTGCTGCTGAAGAGTTGACCTGGGACTATTATAAAAGAACTATGTAGAAAATTCTACAAATATTTATTGGCATATGGAACAATCTGTCAGTGGGCATGCACACAGTACATCTAACATTTAGGATACAACCGCCTTAAATGTTTTTGCACTGATGGAAGTATATATAAACAAATGCAAGACACAACAATTCTTGCTTGTTTGAGGAGAAAAGAAAAACTTGAAGCAGTTAGCAATATTGGGTGTCTGTGGGTTACTTTCTTTCAAATATAAACATTTACAGAAGAGGAGTTGGATAGGTCTTCCTGGAAGCCTTTTGGGAGAAGTGTGTGAATGAAATTGAGCTCTTGGGAACAAGGCAAAGGATAGGCAAAGGAAAGGAAGAGAGATCATGAACAAAGACTTATAATTGAGAATGAGTCTCATTCTCACTGGTTATAGAACAGAAGGTTTATGATGGAAAATGAGAGAAAGTAGAGTTTCTGAACACAGATTCAACTTTATAAGCGTTGACCCATTTCCACTAAAATAAAAGGAGTAATTAATATAATTATATATAGTTGGGGTCATACCTGTCTAATGCTTTTAAAGGAGTAGGAATTAGCTTTGGAATTGATTACTGTTTTCTGAAACACACATGTATAAATTTGGATTAGCTTTGGAATTTATTTTGTTCTGGCAGACCTAGTTCTTTTGAGAGGACAATTAGGGGAAATTGTATACCTTGTGTTTGATGACTCTGATATAACCAGTTGTAGTTACACAATTCTGACATTTGTTTTTCTTCACAGAGGCCCCATAAAGCCACTGCTGAAGAAATGACAAAATACCACAGTGATGAGTACATCAAATTTCTACGTTCAATAAGACCAGATAACATGTCTGAGTATAGTAAGCAGATGCAAAGATGTACGTTTCTATGTTAAAAGTATATATTAGTATTGATAAGTATAAACGAGTATTCTTAGAAGCTTATCATTAGAGTTACCCAAATCTAGGTATACTGCCTGATCTAAAATACTTTTTTAAAGTAATTATTGGTTTGAAAAGTCAATGTAAAAATACTAATAAAGCTACTTTATTTTTAAAAATTTTTTTAAAGATTTTATTTATTTATTTGATGGAGAAGAGAGAGAGCACAAGCAGGGGAAGCAGCAGGCAGAGGGAGAAGGAGAAGCAGACTCCCCGCTGAGCAGGAAGCCTGATGCAGGGCTTGATCTCAGGGTCCTAGGATCATGACCTGAGCTGAAGGCAGACACTTAACCAACTGAGCCACCCAGGCGACTCGGAAAGCTATTTTAAATTAAAATAAATAAATAAATAAAAACGGGCTCCTGGGTGGCTCAGTTGGTAAAGCGTCTGACTCTTGATTTCAGCTTAGGTCCTGATCTCAGGGTCTTGAGATCAAGCCCTGAGTTAGGCTCTGGACTCAGCACAGAGTCAATTTGAGATTTTCTCTCTCCCTCTCCACCCCCCCTCTCAAATAAATAAAGAAATAAAATCTTTAAAAAACAAAATCTAGGGGTGCCTGGGTGGCTCAGTTGTTAAGCGTCTGCCTTCGGCTTGGGTCATGGTTCCAGGGTCCTGGAATCTAGCTAGCTCCTGCTCGGCGGGAAGCCTGTTTCTCCCTCTCCCATTCTCCCTGCTTCTGTTCCCTCTCTTGCTGTGTCTCTCTGTCAAATAAATAAAATCTTTAAAAAAAAAAACTACCTGAAGCCTGTTGGTCTGCCAGACTGCCAAAGAGCTGTTTGGATGTTCCTCTATTCTTTGTTTTGGTCCCTTGTTAACTTTGGGATAATGGATATTGGTGGGGAGACCTTACTCCCCTGCTTTTTTTTTTTTTTTTTAAAGAAAAGTAATTATACCTCGGTTGGCCTTAGCCTGGTATATATATTTCTTCTATTTGTGTGCTTTAGTTAATGTGGATTGTAATATATAATCTGTTTCTTTCCTTTGTTAGTGAAACTTTTGATTTTCTTCTATAGTTTTCTTTTTTATATAGATAAAAAGTATTTTATTGTTAGCAATTGGTTGGCTTGAAAAAGGAATGCAAAATGTCATCATACAATGCTTGGAACAGTGTTTTTTTTAAAGCTTGATACTGAAGTTCATTCTCATCAGTGTTTCTGTTCTGTAGACTTCTGTAGTCTTCAGTGATGATTTTTTAAAAAAGAACAACTTCAGTAATACTAAATTAGTGTAGTTGCTAGACATCTTACACATTTATAGAATTTTGTATACATTTCTACTATAGATTATTTCATTTACTCAATAAAATGCTATAATGTCAATAGAATGTATTACTTATCCCTGTTTTTTTGATGGAGATTCAGCCTTGGATTAAAAGTTATGGGTAGATAGGGCAAGTGAATTAACAGGATTGATTTAATACATAATACTGAATTATATTAAGATTATGATTATATCTGAGCGGTAAGAAACTAAAATCCATTCATTATAGTGCTAATAAATTATGGGTATACAAAGCTATGTAAAATAATTACCCCTGTTTTTTTAAGAGGTAATAATTTGGGGGGTGGGAAGAGGCTGAGAATGGTCATGTACATAATACGTCCCTTTTATCCTGTCAGTACTAAGGAACTAAATACATTGCGATGTGTCATGTATCTGTATGTGTCGTTTCCTTGTGCTTTATATACCCCTTCCTTGTATGTCTTGGCTGTTAAGAACCTAGTTAATTCCTACCATCCTTTAAGATTGGGTAGGCAACTAGCTGCTTTATCTTTTTAGTGCTCAGTAAAATACATTTCAAAGTTAATGGATATTCTGTGCATTTAAGAAGTTTTAGAGAAAGTAAATCATAAAGGAATTAAAATTGCTTAAATTTTTTAGAATCCTGATTAATTTATTGTATGTTTAAGGAGAAATGCCTCAAATTTAAGTGCATGTTTTAATTAAATCAAATGCCTTTTATATTTTGATGGCTATTTTTTTAGTAATAGAGCAGAGATTATTCTATAAATAATCCTGGTAAGATTTGGTGGTGGTGTTTTGTATAGAACATTTTAATTACCTTGGATAAAATGATAAATTATATTTTTAAATAGCAAAGTTTAGATTTCTTCTGTGATGTGTGTTCTATGATTGCATCAAATAAAAAAGTATTTGTAAGAAATCATTTTTGATGGGCGCCTGGGTGGCTCAGTTGATTAAGCGACTGCCTTCGGCTCAGGTCATGATCCTGGAGTCCCAGGATCGAGTCCCGCATCGGGCTCCCTGCTCAGCGGGGAGCCTGCTTCTCCCTCTGACCCTCCCCCCTCTCATGTGCTCTCTGTCTCTCTCATTCTCTCTGTCTCAAATAAATAAATAAAATCTTTTAAAAAAAAAATCGTTTTTGAAAGAAAACCTTCCATTAATTCATAGAATGGATTCTAACTGAAATCCATCTTTCACAGTTAATGTTGGAGAGGATTGTCCAGTGTTTGATGGACTCTTTGAGTTTTGTCAGCTTTCGACTGGTGGCTCAGTTGGTAAGTGTGCTGATTCAGATTTAAAAATTGATTTAAACCTGGTGTGTAACTTTTGGGTTATTTGTTTAAAGCAAAAGTTTTTAGTGGTAGTGGATTTTGATAACAAAAAGTAGTCTGTATGTTTATAGTAGTACAATTGTCTTTAAAAAAATTCACATGTTTGGGGCACCTGACTGGCTCAGTTGGTAGAGCATGTGACTCGATCTAGGCATCATGAGGTCAGGTCCCACATTGCGCATAGAGCTTACTTTTAAAAAAATAATAAAAGTAGTAACCTTCTTTCTTTAAAAATAAATAAACCCCATGCTTTGTGAGCATTATGACTTAGACTTTTTGTTTCTTACTTCTTACTTACTTACTTTCTTACTTTTTGTTTCTTACTTCTGTTGTATTCACTTAGAGATTTCTCTCCTCTCTAGTTACCACTTTCCATAAATACTCTTATTTAATCAGATCACATCTATAGGATAATATTTATCCAAGGAAAAACTGTTGTTAGTGTCCCAGACAATGATCCTTATCTTTTTGTAATTTTAAACTCTTTTACTTCTACATGGCATACTCTTTCCTATAGGGCTTTTGTCTAGTTGTATTAATTTTTTTATTTTAAACACTTTGGAAGACTACCCTGTCTTGTCTTTTAGCTGGGGCTGTGAAGTTAAACCGACAACAAACTGATATGGCTGTTAACTGGGCTGGAGGATTACATCATGCTAAGAAATCAGAAGCATCAGGATTCTGTTATGTTAATGATATTGTACTTGCCATCCTTGAATTACTAAAGTAAGTTAATTTATGTTGATATTTTTCTTATGAAAAAGTTTTAATTAAAACAATATAAATCTATAGCCTTTAAAAAAATATCAAAGAAACAGTAGGTTAAAAGTAGTTCAGTGGTGAGTCTTCTATGGATTTATTACAAATGGTTGTAGAAATACAGGACATTTTCCCATTCCTTGGATTAATAAGAATGAGAAGTGCATATACATGTTTAAAACTCCCATTAAATACTCTTTTTAAAAAGACTAGAAGTAGTTTGGAGATTTAGATTTGAGTTACAGTTTCAACTAATGAGAGATGACAGGGTCCTGGAAGTTTATGTTTTAACATTTTGTAAGTTTTAACTTTTGAAGGCAAAATTTGAAACCTTGTGTTAAAGGAAATTGGTTCATTGAATGAGTCTAGCCAATTGCCTAGTTTCCACATGGAATGGCCTTTGTTCTCTACTAATGGGTATAATTATGTCTAAATTACTAAAGGAGTTAGTTTTAAGGTTCCTTGACTGCAGTTTGAGAGAGATCTATAGAGGGACTTAGGAATTGAAATTTACCAAGTTTTTTTTTTTTTTTTTTTTAACCATTATCAGTTGTAACATGTCTTAGCAGATTCCACTTCAGAATGTAGTGATTTAGTTTTTTCTCGGTATCAGAAATGTTCTTGCCTCTAGTTATTCTATGCATACTGTTTATAGAGGCTTATTTTTCCATCATTTAAAATTTGGTTTTGACTCCTCAGATAAACAGCTAAAATGTTTCAGTTAACTCAATGAGAGCCAAGGAAAACCACTTGAAATTATTTGCCTTGGTTTTTAATTCACTGTTGATTTTGGTTCTTGTATTTTCATCTCTCAGAAGTGGTTCTTGCCCACATGCTTATAGCCTTAAACACGTTTTAACTTAATTTGTCTAGATATATTTCTTTAAGTGGTGTGATCAATCATGATTTAATTAATTGACTATTGATAAGCCACTTATGAAACACTCAGAAACTTATTTGGCTAACAGCTTTTTTATTATTTTTGTGAAGAAAGTCTACTATGATGAGACATTCTGCTTTTTTTTTTTTCCGTAACTGCTGAATGGTGCTTTCCTGTGAGTTGAGAATATTCTAATGAGTTCTTAGTTTGATAATGTCAGTTTATATTATTTTCTTTTAACATAGTGGTGGTATCTTTATATAATAAACACAGAAAGCTCTGCCATTTAATTTAATAACAAAATAATCCTCAGTTCACCATGCCATAAAAGTGTGACATTCAAAGTTCATTTCCTTTTCTCTTGTTTTGACATGGTAATAAGATGTCACAGTATGGTGATATACATGGCTCTTAAAACGCATTCAAGCTATAACTGCATCACAGCAATTTGTAGCGTTCCAGGCAGCACGAGGAAGTGATGAAAGTACCAGCTGTGGTTTCTGTCACAACTACTCTACTTTGCAGTTGAAAGCACAAAACAAGCCATAGATAATTTATAAACAAATAAGCATGGCCATGTTTCGGTAACTATTTATGGACGTTGAAATTTGCATTTCCCTTGTCACATATGAAATACTCTTGTTTTAATTTTACTTTTCAGTGATTTAAAAATGTAAAAACTATTCTTACCTCAAGGCTTTACAAAAAGACTCTTGCTCAGATTTGGGCTATGCACCATAAATTGCCAACCACTTTTATAATACTGAAAATTTACTAGAGAGATGTTTTAAAGTAATCCTGTAAGTACTGTATAATCTTCAGTTGTTAATATATAGAAACATGTAGTATGTTTTTAAAACATGTAGAACTGGACAGATTTCACGGGGAGAGTAAATACATTTTCTTACCTAGTTTGGGGCCAAGGGAGGACTTAAAGATCTAAGGCTCAAACCTGTAACTTTAGATATTTGAATGGTCTCTTAGGCTGGAAATAAAGTAAGAAAGGGGATTAAACATTCTGAAATGCAAGAGCTCAAAAATAGGTTTTCTGAACCCATGGTGGCTCTTCCCATCTTTTAAAACCTTTTAAAAAGTTAACTGATGGCTTCGTTTTCAGGTATCATCAGAGAGTCCTATATATTGATATTGATATCCATCATGGTGATGGTGTTGAAGAAGCTTTTTATACGACAGATCGTGTAATGACTGTATCATTCCATAAATATGGGGAATACTTTCCTGGAACAGGAGACTTGAGGGTAAGACTGAACTTCAGTCTGAATAAGAATTATGATATAAATATTAGGAGACCTGAGGAAGCTAATAATCTATCTAAACTAATACTGTTCTTGAGTTACTCATTTGAAACTTGTATGCAGAATTGAGTCATTTTACATGCTATAAAACATTTGCTAGAGTTCACTTTTGTTGACTATAAGCAAAAATTTAGTGATAACTGAGAGGATTTTTTTTTTTTTGCTCAGCCATTTTCTTTGGTTGAGTAATTATTTTTGAACATCCCTGAAGCACAAAGAAATTTTCTAGATGTTTATTTGCATCTTCAAAACCTACTTGATAGTAGCCAACATTGCTGTTGATTGTAAAAATTGGTAGAAGAAAATAACTAAATCTTTTAGGTTCTTGTACTTGCCCTCCTTTTATAATCAGTCTTGATTTAATAGGCCTAATTTTAATCTCTTCTTCCTTAGGCTTCTGAAATTTGTAGTCTATATCATTTGGAGAGAGAAAGAATACCATAGCTTATCCTGCCTGCCTGTTACATTAAGTGCATTTATTTCTTTTATATTTCTGTTATCTTCTTCCATTTAGTGCTTTTTTATTGTATGAATGTGAAAATCACTGGTCAAATCTTGTTTGTACAAAGTTCCTGAAGTTTTTTTGCTTCGCTTGTTTTTCTTGAACCAGACTATGTACATGTTGAAATTTATTCAAAAATTTAAATAGCCTTTTTTAATTCAGCCTGGATTATATGGGAAATTTCTCTTATCATGGCATTCAGTATTCTAAGTTATTTTATTAAGGTTATTTTTCATATCTGTGGTATGTAGTTAGAGCTACTTAGCCACCAGAAGTTTGAAGAGTGGCCTTATTTTTCAAGTATGTGTGGTTTTTTTATTTGACCACAAGATGGTGCTCTTTCAGTAAGAGTTGTGATGTGAAATCTTTCTTTACTTATAAATGGACAGAAGGTCAATTGTTTAATTTATTTGAGTTTAAATTATGTGGCTTTTAAAGTTGCAAATGTATATTTTCAGTTCCATGCCTGTTAGCTCCTTCAGTGCCTTTTCCCCTTGGTCTTTTTAAAAAAATTTTTTTTTTTTAAATATTTATTTATTTGACACAGAGAGAGACAGCGAGGGAAAGAACACAAGCAAGGGGAGTGGGAGAGGGAGAAGCAGGCTTCCCGCGGAGCAGGGAGCCCGATGCGGGACTCGATCCAGGGACTCCAGGATCATGACCTGAGCCGAAGGCAGTCGCTTAACCAACTGAGCCACCCAGGCGCCCCTTTCCCCTTGGTCTTAACTTACATACAGTATTTCTTAGAGTTTGACCCCCAAACTAGCAGTATCAGCAGCTCCCGGGAACATACTGTCAGGTCTCCGAAACTGGTTCTGCACACTAACGTTAGAGAACCACTGCTCTAGACCGGTAGAATTCCTTGGTCTACAGCCATTGTACTCAGTGAAAATTCAGCAAAGCCTTCCCAGTTTTAAGCTTAAAGAAAGTCTCTTTTCAATATAATCGTAGTTAATCTCAGAAATGGTGAAACTGGCCTCTGTTCATTTCTGACAGTATTCTTATGATTGAAGTTGTTAGAAAGTATTGGAGAATGGGTGTTTTTTAAAGGTTTTAGAATGACTTTCAATTTCTCTTTTACTCACTAAACATTTTACACTTACTATATGAAATGTCATCATAATATTTTCCCTTTGGTTATTATAAAAGTGTCCCCCAAATTTTGTAAGGAAATCAAAATGAGTCATACATGGAATTATATTTAGAATTTCATAAAACTTATGTGTATCTTTGATGTTAATTTAATAGACATTCCCTTTCTACCTACCAATTTATTCTAAATTAGAAAAGAAAGCTACTTTGAGCTCAGGTCATTGTTAAAACTGCTTGCATTTATTAGTTCAGGAGTCTAAGTAGAGGAAAAAAGGGTATGCTAAAGGAGCAGTTGAGGAATAAGATACGGGAGGGATAAAGCTTGGTGCAACAAGGGCAGCAGCTGAGGTGCCAGCTTTCGGCTAGAGTGAGATGTGCTGACCAGCTTTCTGTGTTCTAAACTCTTAATGTCAGAGTATATTCCAGCAGTTTAGTTTTTAGTGCAGAATTTTAAGGATTCACCATGCTTTAGTTTATCCACATCTGAATGGTTTGTATTTAGTTATATATAAACATTTAGATTTCTTCAAGAAAAATTGTTGGGGGGAGATAGGTAATTCCACTTACTTTTTTTTCCTTGGAAGTTGGGTCATGATAACTCTCATATTGGAAAATAAGCTATGTTTTTTTAAAATGAATCAGAGATAAAGGAAGACTTGTACAAAAGCATTAGTAATCCTAAAGATTCATGTATATTGAGACATAACTTAAAAGACATAAGAATTAGGCTCTTGGGTGGCTCAGTCGTTAAGCGTCAGCCTTCGGCTCAGGTCGTGGTCCCAGGGTCCTGGGATCGAGCCCCATATCGGGCCCCCTGCTTGGCGGGAAGCCTGCTTCTCCTTCTCCCACTCCCCCTGCTTGTTTTCCCTCTCTCACTGTGTCTCTGTCAAATAAATAAAATATTAAAAAAAAAAAAAGACATAAGAATCCGTTACTGCCAATTCTTTGGTGTTGCAGGTAAAGAACTATTTTGTAGCAATTTTTGTGCTATACCATTTCTTCTAGGAATTAGATGTGTGTGTGCACTCCAGTACATTTACACACATGCATCTGCGCATTCATAATATATATACAAATAATATATGTAGTGTGTGTGTGTATGTGTGTGTATTTTATAAGTGTGTATGTATTGCTGAACCCAGCTCTCAGTTTCTCTTGCTTTGGGAAGTACTAATACCCAGAGTGGAATTTATTCAACAAATAGAAACAAAATTTATTTCAAGCCTAATTAAAGAGTAGATTTTGGTGCTGTAGTCTGCAGTTGTCAAAACTTGAGGAAAGTAGGAGCTTTTCTTTCATCATAAATAAACTTATACCAGAATGTGAGCCACAAGAGCAATTCTGCATTATAGAGACAGTTGTCCTGCACAATTCTTTGGCTTAGAGTATTTATTTTCTGTAGTTTTACATATTCTGTTCATGATTAATTTCTTGGCCTAATGTAATTTTGCCTTTAATTGTTAAATTTCTTTTCTCCCCAAAATAACCATTACACATTAATTGGAATTGGTTCTGTTCAGCTTAATAAAACAATCCATTAATATTGGAATTTACACCTATTCTGTATTACTTCCTTTCTTCACCTAAAAGATGAATTCAGAATTGGATATTGTTACCTAGTTTTTTAATCTTGTAAAAAAATATTTAATAAACATGTCAAGCATTTTTACTATGAAACATTTTCTAAGAACTGTTTGTGTGTTTTAGGATATTGGTGCAGGAAAAGGCAAATACTATGCCGTCAATTTTCCAATGAGAGATGGTATAGATGATGAGTCCTATGGGCAGATATTTAAGCCTGTAAGTATTATTATTTTCAAAATCAAAACGGAATTTTAAAATAATTTTACAGATATTAACATTTGTTATCTTGCAATAGATTATCTCAAAGGTGATGGAGATGTATCAACCTAGTGCTGTGGTGCTACAGTGTGGAGCCGACTCGCTGTCGGGTGATCGGCTTGGTTGCTTCAATCTGACGGTCAAAGGTAAGCAGTTTAATGGGTGATAGTCCCAGGAACATGTTGGTTTTTTTGCTTTCTGACAACTTCCCGTAAAAATTATCATTATAATTTTTTGCCTCCTGTATTAGCACATGTTTTGTATTTTTCATTGTTTTTTGTCGAATATATGTATGCATTTGGAATTGATTTTTATAACTATAATTTTTTTTTTTTTTAAGATTTTATTTATTTATTTTAGAGACAGAGCACAAGAGCGGGGAGGGTCAGAGGGAGAAGCAGACTCCCTGCTGAGCGGGGAGCCCGATGCGGGACTCAATCCTGGGACTCCAGGATCATGACCTGAGCCGAAGGCAGTTGCTTAACCAACTGAGCCACCCAGGCGCCCCATGATTTTTATAACTATAATTAATGCTGTTTCAGTAAACTAGGTTTTTTATTTTATTGATACATTCATACATGAGTAGTTTTATAAAGCTTGCAGTCCTAACCAAGGCAGCCATTTTCAGTGTTTTCGGTTGCTCCTTTTGGTGTTTATCTTTCTCCAAGTACCATGCAAACTAACTTTATTTTATTTTATTTTTATTTTTTATTTTATGTTATTTTATTTTCAAGTAATCTCTGCACCCAACATGGGGTTCGAACTCAAAACCCCGAGATCAAGAGTTGCATGTTCCTCAGGGCTCCTGGGTGGCTCAGGAGGTTGAGCATCTGATTCTTGATTTTATTGCAGGTCATGATCTTTCAGGGTCGTGTGATTGAGCCCTGCATTGGGCTCTGCGCTCAGCGGGGAGTCTCCTTGAGACCCTCTCTCTCCCTCTACTCCTCCCCCTGTTCATGTTCTCTCTCTCTCTCTAAAATAAATAAAATCTTAAAAAAAAAAAAAGAGTTGCATGCTCCTTCAACTGAGCCAGCCAGGTGCCCCAAACTTTGTTACTTTCAATTTTAGCTTTGTATATTCACTTCCCATCATGGAAGAAGAGGGATTTAGCCCTTTTCACCACTTTGTCCCCAACACATGCATACACTCTTCAGTATCTTCCTTTTTACAGTTTAAATCTGGTAATTATACTAGAATTTTGGTGTGGCATTTAGTGTTTACAAAGTCATCAACATTAAAGCACTTTTTAAAGGCTTATCAAATTGTTCTTTATTGTATAACTTGTTTTTCTTGCCTAATTTTTTCATTACTTGGCTTTCTCTTTAATCATTATTAAACCACCGGTATCTAAATAGCTTCAAATGTTGAGGTGCATCAAGTATTCCATCATTTTTACTTTCTCGAAGAATAGCCTTCTGACCTGTTATTGTTTGGATGAGTATCCCTTATAGACTTGGTAGAAAAAGAGCTCTTTGCTTCTCTTTTATATGCCCTCCCTCCCCCATTGCTCTTTCCTAAGTCTTGCTCTTAATTTTTGTGTCATTTTGGTGGAGCACATTCTCAATAGCTTTCTAAGAAAAGATGTGTTGGGGGATCAGGAGTGTAGCACCAAAAATTTAAATTTGATCAAGTGTAGAAATTTTAGTGAGTTCTTAAAATTTGTTATATGGGGATCAGTAATGAATATTGTACATGATTTTGTAGTTTTGCTTTTGAATTTTCAGTTAACAAATGGATGTGCTTGGATTGAATTGCCTCATAAGATGTGAAGAATTCTCAAATAGAACTTTCCTAAAATGACTGTTGACTTAAATGGAATTAAATAACTAAATCCAGATATTAAAGTCTTTTATTTAATGTTATGATTGCTTCTATACCAGTTAGCATTAGAATTAATGGTATAATCTGTTCTGCTTTTATTAGGTTGAACCTACAAACTTGATTGCCCCTTTTCTTGGTAGGTCAACAGTGGTCAAATAGCAGTTTCTTATCGTTGAACTTAGTGTGTTGAAAACCTTCTGTTGGCCTCAAAATGGACATGATCTTCCTAATGTACAAAATGGGTATTAACTGTATGTTTTCATGTCCTAGCACTTTGAGAATGCTTTGATGCTTTCATACTTAAAAGTAGTAGCATTCATAATCATAAACTGCAGTGTTTTACTTTTACAATAATCTATGTTTCAACTGTTAGAATTTCTGTTGTATAAAGCACAAAGGATATTTATAATCCCAGATCTTAAACTTGATTCTGTTTTCTCCTCTGCCAGCTTCAATTTAGATTTCTCAGGTCTTTTGAAACCCATTACCTCTTGTCCATCTCTTTTCTACCTTCATTTATGTTGTTACTGTATGTTCTCTGCCATTCTTCATTTTTTACAGGTTTCAGTTTTAGCCTTTAAAAAATTCCCTTATACTCATTTTTATCAGGTTTTGAGAAGAAGGAAAGTATTTTTGTTTAGCTATCTTTACTCAGAAGTCTATAAAAGCTAACTTTTTGTTTATTTTGTCTTTAAAAATAGCGAAGTGGTTTTTATCTATTATAAGAAGCCTGTGTTTTTCTAGTAGCAGTAATAGAAATTAGGTTATGAATTTTATAGTGCAACAGTTGAAGAATACTCAGTGGAAATGCTCACAAATATACAATTACATGAGAAAAAAATCATTAAATCTTACTAACTCAGAAGGAATTGGAAGGAAATACTTCAAAAACTATCTTTGGATGATGGAGTTTTAAAGTTTTTTCTTTGTACTTTTTTGATTTTTTTCCAAATATTCTTCAGTAAGCATGGATTTCTTCTATAATTGAAAGTTTTTTTTTTTTCTTTAAAGACTGATTTGTATGCCTGAATGATTGCTATATTACTAATACTGGTAACTAACTTATAATTAATTATTAAAAATCATATTTATCCAAAGGAAATATTTCATTTTTATATTAAGTTTACTTTCTATTCAAATTTCTACACATAGGTGGTTGTTGAATAGTAATAGTAATAGTAATAGTGGTTGTTATAGTAATAGATAGTAATTTTATAATCTTAGATAAGTTAAGAAAATTACCTAATAGTACTGCTACCTGAAGATAAGCTACAGTTAAACTTTGTTGTATAGCTTTTCATAATTTGTCTGCATATGTTTATATGGAAAAGTGGTAAAATTAAATTGTGCATGTTGTAACCTTTTCTTCCCCATGTAATGTCACATGAACATAGGATCTTCATACGACATAATGTCTTCCTATGTTAATAAAGATAAGTGTTCTGTTCATATTTTTAATCTTAATTTAGTTGTATAATTCACTTTTCTATTAGGGACACTTGTTAAAATAGCCAATTATATCTTACTGTGTTTTATATATCATTGTGTGAAAGGTATTTAAAAAACTTTAGAAATTTCTTGAAATTTTTACATATTCTTTAAATACTTAGAAAAGCCGTTTTGGTTGAATAAAACTTTTTGTTTGCATTTATTATCTTTTTAAAACTTATTTTTCAAACTGTTAAAATATTTAGATTTGTTGTTACCCAAATCTTTTTTTTTGTCTCAGGTCATGCTAAATGTGTAGAAGTTGTGAAAACTTTCAATTTACCATTACTGATGCTTGGGGGAGGTGGATACACAATTCGTAATGTTGCTCGATGTTGGACATACGAGACTGCAGTTGCCCTTGATTGTGAGATTCCCAATGGTAAGTGTTCTTATTATGATATCTTTATTGGATGGAAGTGTTAATATATACAAGTGGACAGATGGATGATTACAGTAGATTCCAAACCATACAAATAGGAGAGCAGTCACTTATAAACATTTTCTTGGGGAATATTTCACAGCTTGAATCTGGATTTTGTGCATGGGTTTGTGTGAAAACTGAGCTTTTAATGTGTCACTTTATTTCGTTGTTTTTAATAGAATTGCCATATAATGATTACTTTGAGTATTTTGGCCCGGACTTCAAACTGCATATTAGTCCTTCAAACATGACAAACCAGAACACTCCAGAATATATGGAAAAGATAAAGTAAGAGATCATTGAAATGATTTGATAACATTTCATCTTTATTTTTATATAGCAGATGTTTCCTTTGTCTTTTTCAAAAGCATTTGAAAACCTTAAGATTACTGATTTCTTTGTTTTTTTCTGAGATAAAATGTATGGGCTTCATAGCTCAAAAATATTTCCATTTTCTATTACTTATGGATTTTTAAGTTTCAGAGGGCACTGTAAATTGTATACATTCTTGCTTTACATGAAATTTTCCTTTTCGGAACATTTTGGAAAAGCTTTATCTCCAAGAACAAAGTGTTTAGAGAGCTATTGTAGTACACAGACCCAAGTTTGTATCCTCTCTCTCTCTCTCTCTGCCACACACTAGTTTTGTGACATTTGGCAGGTTAATTTGCCTTTAGGTTATATTTTCTCATCACTGAAATGGGGGGATGAAATAGAACCTACGTTCTAAATTTTGAGGATTAGATGGGTTAATGATAGTCTGTGAAGTATCATGCTTTTATGTTATTATTTCAACTCATAGGTTAAGTCAGATAAAAGATGAAATTTTTGCTTAATGTTTCCTCTTACATTTAAGAGGAACTTGAAAAGAAATGAATTTTTTCTAATAAATTTGCATGTGTAATTTAGACAGCGTTTATTTGAAAATTTACGCATGTTACCTCATGCACCTGGCGTCCAGATGCAAGCTATTCCAGAAGATGCTGTTCATGAAGACAGCGGAGATGAAGATGGAGAAGATCCAGACAAGAGAATTTCTAGTAAGATAATGCCTTGATGTGTATTCTGTTACATTCTTCTGATTTGTTAAAAATATCACTACAGATTAAAGGTTTTAGTGGTCCAAGAAATTCGCTATGGGTTATGTTTCATGAGGACACTAATATTATTGTCCTTTTTTTCCCATTTTTAATCTTACATAGATTTAACTTTTTTTTTTTTTTTAAGATTTTATTTATTTGACAGAGGAGAGAGCACAAGCAGGGGGAGCGGTAGGGAGAGGGAGAAGCAGGCTCCCCGCAGAGCAGGCATCCTGATGCGGGGTGCGGGGTTCAGTCCCAGGGATTGGGATCACGACTTGAGCCACCCAGGCGCCCCTAGATTTAACTTTCTTATGCCTTAAAGCCTGATTTGAGCGTCAGTGTTTTTTAGTTCATGTGACTCTCTATATAGGAGCACCTAGGTGGCTCAGTCGGTTAAGCATCTGACTGTTGATTTTTGGCTCAGGTTATGATTTCAGTGTCGGGAGATCGAGCCCCACGTTGGGCCCCGTACTGGGTTTGGAGCCTGCTTGGGATTCTCTCTCCCTCTCTCTCTACCCACCCACACATGCATGTGTGCATGCATGCTCTCAAAAAAAAAAAATTTAATGTATATTTGGGAATGAATTGGAAAGTAATACCATTTATCCAAAGGAGAGTGAGTTCAATAACATTAAACACCTGTTTGATTCTCTAGCCTCTCATTCCACTTAATATTGATTGCTAGAGTTGTAATACAATGGTATCTCTTGTGGTGTAGACCTTCTAACATACTTGATATTAATGATATTTTTAATGTTGTCTATCTACATCTCCTTTTAGCTCTGAAATAAATGGTCACTCCTTAGGTAAAGGCATTATCCCTACCTCCTGTTAGTAAAAAATAGTTTTTCCCTCCAAATTTTTTTGGTGAGATTCCCCAAATGTTTTTCATGTTTCTTTGAATTATACTTCTTCCTAGATCAAATCTAAATTTTCAGTATTGAACAAACCATGCATTCAGTTCTAATCTTAAGATTATTAAGCATTTGTTACCCTGTACTTTTAGATGTGGAAATTGGTTGGTACATTTTACATGAGTGTGTAACAATTATAAAACCTGTAACTGCCTTTGTGAACTTTTATTAAAATCTTTAATCAGTTCGAGCATCAGACAAACGGATAGCTTGTGATGAAGAATTCTCAGACTCTGAGGATGAAGGAGAAGGAGGACGTAGAAATGTGGCTGATCATAAGAAAGGAGCAAAGAAAGCTAGAATTGAAGAAGACAAGAAGGAAACAGAGGACAAAAAAGCAGGTAAGATTTATTTTTTGGTAAATGTGTTTTAATTGTAAGTTTTTAAGATGAGCTTCACTGCAATTTTTTATGAAATCCTGAAGTCAGTTGCACAAGTATTAAAGGGATGGTTATGCTAGGTAGATGACTTTTTTCCATGTGGTAAGTAGTGCTTAACCTTCTAAATTTTTTATTTAAAGCTCTGTTAATGTTACTAGTCACATTTGCTCTTACAGAAAACCTTCTTACCTTCTCTTGCTGACATAGACATAAAATAGCAAACACCACACTGTGATACAGATTGGGTAAGAAGACAAAGTGGTTATAGATCCATTTGTAGTCTGTGAGCAGAGCTCAAATTCTAAGATAGTTTTCAACTACCTGAAGTTTATTTGATGGGAATAAGACACAAAAGAAGAGTTAACCTTAGACCAGTTTCACCATTGTGAAAAAGCTGAGAGAGTAGACTTTGCTCAGAAATTGTTTGGTGAAAGCATAAAAACTCTGAGGAAAGATAGGAAGGTATTTGGAAGCTGGGTTGGAGGGGGGAGGTATAATACTTTGATGCCATAACTTAACTTAAAAATGCTGCTAGCTTGTCTCATGACAAAATGATGCTTTAGGCAGAAAATTTACTACTAGAATCTATTACCTTTTATCTGAGTTCCCAGAGCACTTATACATATCTTGGTCATTTTATTTAACATAAATTATAATGCCTCGTTACAGGATTTTATGTGCCTCCATGCTAGATTGAGCTCCTCGTGCCTAGGGAACACAGTATCTTAAATATCTATATTCTTAACAGTGTGTTTCTTGATTGAATGGATACCTGATACCTGTATATAAGTAATGGTGATGAAGATGAGTTCTAGTTGGCTGTTAATTTTGACCCTGTGGCATGTGGAAAAACTAATAGACGACAGACATACTTGGCCAGCATCCTTTTCCCTATATCTGTCACATTGAAGTTTTTTTCTTTTTTACTAGAGAGGTTAGGATTCCCCAGCATATCTGACACTTGCAGTTCTGTTCTTTTACTTGTGATTCACTCCACTGTAGGCTACCATTCTCTACCATTTTATAATTTTTTTTTTTTTTTAAGATTTATTTATTTATTTATTTGAGAGAGAGAATGAGATAGAGAGAGCATGAGAGGGGAAGGGTCAGAGGGAGAAGCAGACTCCCTGCCGAGCAGGGAGCCTGATGTGGGACTCGATCCAGGGACTCCAGGATCAGGACCTGAGCCGAAGGCAGTCGCTTAACCAACTGAGCCACCCAGGCGCCCCCCATTTTATAATTTTAACTTTTGAATGTATCACAATGAAGGCTCCAATCCGCTACATACTAATTGACATCCAGAAATTCCACTTATGTCTGAGGTAAGGAGGGCTTAGCTTTAGCTGTAGGGCTTTTCTAGTATTTTTCATTTCTTTCACCATCAGTACATATTCTTACCATTTTTGGAGTTTCTTCTCATTTTAAAAATCTTTAGCTGTTTTGTGCTTTTTTTTGCCCCCCCCCCCCAAATGGGAAAGCACCTTCACTAGGGTGCTACTTGTCTGTCATTGCTATTCTAGCTAAAAATGAGAGTACCCTTTGATCTGGCTTAATGACCTCGTAGTGGATTAATCTCTTAGTATTTAGCTCCTCAAAACTGCTGCTACTGATAATGATAATTTAAAAAAAATTATTTTGTGGTGGCTCTTCTTTGTTTAAAATCCTTTGTCTTACACATAAAGAAATACTACCATAGAAAACTTTTTTTAAAAATCTGTAAATCAGAACCTAAAGTTGGGGCCATTTCTTTTTTCTTCCTCCCTTTCCCAGTTCTGTTTTGGCCCTTTGAAATTACTAAGTTTACATATCCAAAATTAAGCCAGAAGTTGAAAAAAAGTCATAGTATCCTTATTATCACACACATTTTTTGTATTGTAAGTGAGACCAGTCCCCTGAAATGTCTATGTAGAATGCTTAATAACAATGTTTATAATCAGATATCTTTATTGTCAGGTCATTGCTTCACAACTTCAGTTCATGTTTCTTTAAAGAAATTGAGCACATTTGGGCTAATTTGTTTTAGTAATCTTGGGTTTGTAGTGTTAATGTTACCATTTTATTTATTTTTATTAGAATGGTAAAGTTTTAAGACTTACAGAGTCTGGGTTAAAAGTGAGTGGTGTAAGCAGGAGGATTTAGCCTCTACTGTGCCCCTGGGCTTATCTTATACTTCAGTCCCAGTGGTCTTTCAGTTCTTCCTTCTAAACTGTTAGCTCTGTCTTGGCTGGGGTGCGTGGGTGGCTCAGTCTTGGTTAACCATCTGCCTGTGGCTTAGGTTGTGATCCCAGGATGCTGGGATCGAGTCCTGCATTGGGCTCCCTTCTCTGCTGGGAGCCTGCTTCTCCCTCTGCCTCCCTTTCTCTCTGTCTGTCTCTCATGAATAAATAAATAAAATCTTTTAAAAAGTTCTGTCTTGCCTCGAAATCCTTTTAAGTTTTCCTTCTGTTCAGGTTACTTCATCCCTTTTCCCACCCAAAAGCTGTTCATTCTTAGGACTCTTCACAAATGTCACTTGCTGTGGTAGCCTTTCCCAACCCCCCTCAGTGCTGTGCTCATATCTGTAGGCTGAACTTCTCCACAGCACATATCCCAGCTGTAATATTGTAGTATAAGGGAAACAGAACTTCAGAAAGGCAGGACTTATGTTGTCACATTGACCCCTTGAACCTCTGTCATATTTAGCAAAGCTTCTATAGTTACTGAACTCATGAATAGTAATATTGTATATGACAGCTTTTTATATTTCAAGTATATTTTAAAATGTGTATATTTTGTATTTTAAAACAGGCTTTAATCTCTTCCCAATTTTTGTTTTTAGATGTTAAGGAAGAAGATAAATCCAAGGACAGTAGTGGTGAAAAAACAGATACCAAAGGGTAAAGTATATTCTTTATCCTAGTAATTTTTATATATTATAAAAATAATAAATACATTTACTTTGGGTGTGTATGTGTGTATTCTTTTGAGAAGTGCTGGACTGAACTTGCTTGAGAGCATCAGTAAGTTGTATGAGGTGCTCTAAATTTTAGTCCATATTGGTGCATAAGGGAATATGCCATCTTAACCATCAGTTTATGTGTTGGCTGTTCATCTGTTACTTACGTAGCTTGCCTTAAAAAATGATAAGGACTCGAAATAATACTGTATAACTGCACATAAATCAGTTTGTACTCTTGTATGTATTGTATCTGAGACCTTTTGCTTTTAACTTTATGTGATCTTTTCATGGTTCTCTTAGTTTCTATATATGTGAATTTTTTTAGTGTTGGGAGATGGATAAATTTAAACACTGGGCTAGCATAACACAATTCATGATGCAGTTATGTTTAGCAAAATCATTATTGAAGTTTTTATCTCAGAAAGCATATAAATACTTGACCACATATAATTTTGTGCTAGCATTTGTAGGATAACTTGGAATAGATTGTAAAATCACTGGAAAGATTAAGGGAGTTAGTACTCCAAAAACAAGGCATTATCGTGTGTTTCTGGGCATGACCCTACAGGACCTTAATATTTTTTATGTTGCCTCTTTTAACAGAGCCAAATCAGAACAGCTCAGCAACCCTTGAATTTGAATGTCTCACCAATTTCAGAAACCATAAAAGAGTGAGAAAATATTGGGAAGAAAAATTTTTTCTTTTTGAAGACTTCTGGCTTCATTTTATACTACTTTGGCATGGACTGTATTTATTTTCAAAATGGCTTTTTTTGTTTTTGTTTTTCTTGGCAAGTTTTATTGTGAGTTTTCTAATTATGAAGCGAAATTTCTTTTCTCCACCATGCTTTATGTGATAGTATTTAAAATTGATGTGAGTTATTATGTCAAAAACTGATCTATTAAAGAAGTAATTGGCCTTTCTGAGCTGATTTTCCATCTTTTGTAATTATCTTTATTAAAAAATTGTACTTGGATTGTCTTTTGTCTGTTTATTACGACATGAAATCCTTTTTCGGGGGCTAATAACATGACTTTCTGTACAATTAGAATACACTAGGAGTGAAAGATAACTGATTACAACTTCAAGGACATCCATTTACTGTTCAGGAAAGAGTATTTTACAGTACTTATTTCTTAATGCAATTGCAGTTCTACCATCTTGTTTTTTATAGTTTGGCCAGTCACTACCCGTGAAGATTGGCATCTCATTATAATAATTTATCTCTACATTAATAATACAAGCTGTGCGATTGAAATACAGGAATTATATTTGAGCTGCACCAAAGATACCCAAAAATTGGAAATGAAAATTCTGAATTGAAAGAAGAAATCATAATCAGAAGGAAACTGTCTTCCATACTGAGCAATATGTGACTTTGTTGCTAACCCCACTATGTACCAAGTAGAAAAGGAATTGTATGGTTGTGTTTGATCAGAATTTTCCTGTATTCATATTACGTCTGTCTAAAATAAAACCTATTTAGACAAAACCTGGTCCTTTTACTGCATTTTACATAGCATCCAGGTTCCACTATTGCACACAAGTTTCCAAACCAAGGAAGTAAAGTAAACACTTAAAGAATTAGTTTATTTTTCAATTTATTGAGTATCTGTTCATTTTAATGCCTTGCGTATACAACTGAAGGTAATGGAAAAATGCCTGCACCCACAGCTTACATTCTAGTGGTAGAAAGCAGACAAGTGGGTAATTTATACTTAACTCTAGGATATGCAACAGAAAAAATAAAACGTTTTAGGAACTTGTCAAAATGAGTGAAATTACTTTTTTGCTAGACCTACAGTGATTGTTTTGAGGTAAAAATCATAAAATTCCAGAAGATGATGATGTGGAAGATGTTACTCTATAAGCCCATGTGTTGAGAAATACTTCAGACATTCACAGAAGCACCCGGATTTAGGTAACGAACAGCCATGTACCCTCTCAGATTTAATAGACTTTTTTTCACTTTTGCCATATTTGCTTCAAGTGGTTTTTTTTTTTTTTTTTTGCCTTTAAATATACCAGTTTGAAGACTTCTTTATACACTTTGCCATTTAACTCCCCTTTCCCACTTTTCAGAAGTAACCATTACTCTGAGTTCATGGATATTTTATCCATGTTTTTATTCTTGCTACAAATCCGTCAGGATCTAAGCCTTTATGACTGGTATTAACTCAGTCCTTCAGGGACTAAGGAAATATATTTAGTGTTGGAAACAAGAAGTATAACATACATACACTTCTGTAACTTGGTTCTTACATTGTGATTTACCCCTGTTGAACAAGTGTAATTCATCTTAACTGCTATGTATTACTGTTCAGTGTGTCTAAGCACACACCAAACATCTGTTTCAGTATCATAATGGACCTCCGTGGGCACATTTACATTGTGTTTTCCTATTTACAAATACAAGCATTATGTATAACTGAAGCTTCAAGAGAATTATGAAACAAGCACATTCAGCCTGAGTGACTTGGTACAACCTCCAAACAACTGCTGAAAGAACAAGGACCCTGTTCACAAAACAGCAATAACAAAAATTTCTAGAAATAAAATTATAGAGAAGCTATAGTTCTGGTGTATAATGAGAAAGATCAGTGTAACAGTAGATAGATATCAATATACGTTTGGAAATAATGGATAAATATTTCAGATTGGTGAGGGAAGAAAGGGTTATTCCTTAAGGAGTGCTGGGATAATTGATAGTCATATGGGAAAAGTTTTATACCTTCCACCAGAAGAATTGAATTTAAATTGGAAAGGGAAAGTGAGACCATAAGTACTAGACACTATAAGAGACTTAAAAATGTAATTGGAGTAGATAAAGTCTGACTCCAAACTAAAGACGAAACAATTGATACATTTGACTAAAAAAAAACTGAGGCTAATAACACTTAAGTTGAGGAAAACACGTCAGGGAGCAGTGTGCAGAAAGAATTACAGTTTGGCCACAGTTCGAAAGGCTAATATCTAAAGCTACTTAGAAGGACTGAAAAAGTGCATGAAGGATATGAACACTGGGAAAGAAATACAAATAGTTATTAAATATAAAAAGATCTTGAACCACTTAGGAAATGCAAATTAAAATCTATGAAGGTGATTTTTAATTTTTTGACCATTTTTTGACCATTTTTTAAACCTATCATAAACTTGGAAAACAAGTGTTGGCAAGAGGATGAGGAAATTGTCATACATTGTAATAGAGCGTGTGAGTCACTATAACCTATAATGACTCAATTTAACATCCTATATCAAAATTTCAAAAAAAAATCGAGGGCCTGGGTGGCACAGTCGGTTAAGTGACTGACTAGGTTTGGGCTCAGGTCACGATGTCAGGGTTGTGAGATCGAGCCCTGCGCTCTGCGGGGAGCCTGCTCAGGATGCTCTCTCCCTCTCCCTCTGCCCTTCCCCCTGCACTTGCTCGTGCACACTCAAATCTTTTAAAAATTACAAATAATCGGATTCAAAATTTCATTTTGAGAAATTTAACACACTTGTGCAAATGGCTTTCAGAAATCTTCATTATGCAACGTTGTTTGAAATAAAAGATTAAAATGACTTAAACGTTATGTAGAGGAGGAGTTGAATGATAGTTCTGAAAGAATAGAGCCATAGCAAGTATGAGAAGTACATGCTATATATGGAAAAATCTCAACATCTACCATTAAGGGAAAGAAGGAAGAGGTGGAATACATGACATACTACCTTTTTTTTGTGCGTAAAAAGACAAAATTGATTATACAAATAACATCTAGGAAAGATGATAATGAAATGCAGCATTGGGGCGTTGGCTGCTTTCATGGGGATTCGAATGTTGGGCCATGTGAACATTACCCCAAAATGTTAATTAAAAAACACAAGCAGGGGCACCCAGGTGGCTCAGTTGGTTAAGCGTCTGCCTTCGGCTCAGGTCATGCTCCCGGGGTCCTGGGATCGAGCCCCGCATCGGGCTCCCTGCTCTGCAGGAAGCCTGCTTCTCCCTCTCCCACTCCCCCTGCTTGTGTTCCTGCTCTTGCTGTGTCTCTCTCTGTCAAATAAATAAATAAATAAAATCCTTTAAAAAAAAAAAAAGAAGAAGAAGAAAATATCCAGACTCAATTATACTCCGGAAGAGAAACAGACATACTTCGGACCCTTTAATTTTATAGCAATAGTGTTACAGCTGAGATAGACCTATCTACTGAACTTATTAAAAACCTTGGGAACTCGGGCGCCTGGGTGGCTCAGTTGTTAAGCATCTGCCTTCCGCTCAGGTCATGATCCCAGGTCCTGGGATCGAGCCCCGCATCGGGCTCCCTGCTCAGCGGGAAGCCTGCTTCTCCCTCTCCCACTCCCCCTGCTTGTGTTCCTGCTCTTGCTGTGTCTCTCTCTGTCAAATAAATAAATAAAATCTTTAAAAAAGAAACATGATTTCTAGTCCAAGGGATAGAAATTTTACACAACCTTACAGCTTCCTTTTCCATGTCTCAAAATTATCTTTTGAAATGACTTGCAGGTTCATGCAGTTCCGTTGCTGAGACAATAGTGACTATCCTAGTTTCATTTCTTCGCAGGAGAAGAAAGGCGTGCCATGTGGCTTTTAAAGACATTGAGCCTAAACTGAGATTATATAAACCATCTGGAAGAATCATGTTCCTGATCAGGGTAGAGTAGCTATCAACTCTCACTAGCATTTCATTTTTTAAAAATGCACTTTGAAATTAAGACCTCAACTCGGGAAAAAAAACCCAAAGCAAAACAGTGGCCCTTTAATTTAATGAAGATGTTGCTTTGTTCTTAATTTTTCACATTTCCTCATGACATAGGTGAATGCTTTCTCCAAGTCAGCACTGGTACTATAAGGTAGTTATATAATAACTAATCTTTGCCCTTCTACCAAAGCTACTAGCATCCTGTCTAAATAGAGGGAGTTTCTGACATTCTTATATTGAAGTAATTTACCTGCGTCTTCCGGCTCCAGTGCCTTCAGTAAAAGTCTTTCTGAAGCTTCTCTGTTCTCTGGGATTCATAACATTTCTTATTTATATGGTGATATAAATGACATGGGTTTTCAAGGTTTAAATAAAAACTTTGATTTGTGTGCTATCACAAGTAGTACATTTCAATACTGTAAGATCTCTTTTTCTTCACCATAATCTTGTGTAAGTTACTAATCTCGGTGCCTCCATTCCTTTTTGATTTAAATGAGGAAGATGATAGTCGTCCTTACCTCATAAGGTTATTGGAAGGATTGAGTTGATACATAGTTAATGCTCAGGAAGTGTTGTTAGCTGCTGCTGTTAAAGAAGCCTGGCTGGCTCAGTCCATAGAGCATGTGATTTGGTCTCGGCGTCGTGAGTTCGAACCCCACGTTGGGTGTAGAGAGTACTTAAAGAAAAGAAATACAGGAATCAGTAAGTGTCAGCTGCTATTGTTACCATGTCAGGTAAAGGGTGGTAGATAAGGCCAAAGTGATTCAGGGGAAAAGTCTTGGATCTTCAGGTATTCTTTATTTATTTATTTTTTTTAAGATTTTATTTATTTCAGAGAGAGACAGAGAGAGGAGGAGGAGAGGAGGGGGAGGGGCTGAGGGAGAGGGAGAAGCAGGATCTCCGCTGAGCAGAGAGCCCGATGTGGGGCTCAATCCCAGGACCCTGGGATCATGACCTGAACTGAAGGCAGATGCTTAACCGACTGAGCCACCCAGGCGCCCTACAGGTGTTCTTTAAACATCATAGGTTGCCTTTGAGCCTTTTGGTGCAGTCTGATGCCTACTAAAACTCCTAGGTCATAGTGGATAAAGAAGCAATCTTTTGAGAACTGATTTTCGCAAGGAAGCTAGCAAGATTTGGCAAATTTAGGAGGATATTAATGCCCCTACAATTTACTTAATGATAATCTGTCAAGCAAAGTTGTTGTGAATGGGTTATAGAAAAAATAGGACTTATATTGTTATTGGCTATTCACATGAGTAGCAATGTTAATGTGAAGAAATAATG